CTGCCTTTGCCTCCCAAGGGTACCACTCATTATAAGATTACATGTTGCCTCTTAGAGAAATCCAGTCCTAGTTCTGCTTTGCTGTTCCTCAGAACAACACATTTTAAAACTGAAGGGGTGTGTGTGTTAGCGTGCTGTATGATATGTATGATGTGATGTGTGTGTATGTAATATTGGTACTTAGATGCTGTGGCATGCCTATGGAGGTTCCCTCCATTCACCTTGTTTTTGAGTAAGGCTCTTTCTTAATTTCTGCTGCTAAACACACTGTCTGTCTGGCCCAAGAGTTTCTGGGAAATTTTCTTGTCTGCCTCCCATATCACTGTAGGATTGCTGGGGATCACTGAGTCTGCTTTACCCTGCTTGTCAGGTTTGTGGCAAATGCCTGTTTCTGCAGCCCCTATCAGTGTCTTAAAACTAAAGTTGCTTTTATTAGAATTAAGTATTACTGGGTGATGGTGGCATGAGTCTTTTTAGTTACAGCACTTGAGAGACAGGTATACCGGAGGATCTCTGATTTTGAGGCCAGCCAGGTTTTCAGAACTAGTTCCAAGATGGCCAAAGCTACATAGAGAAACCCCATCTCAACAAAACGAAACAACAAAAAGAGCCATGCAGTTAGTTTCTGTAACTAAGATTTCTGGCTTCTACTCACTGTGTGGCCAAGGGTGGCTTCGGATTCCTGACTCTCCCATGTGCCACCTCTCAGTCCCCGTTTCAGGAGGCATAGGCTTGTGCTGCCATCTGTATCCAGCAGGGCTTTTTGTTTGTTGTTTTCTTAGGTAGGAATACTTGGTCTCCATGCTCCTCGGCTTGGCCTCAATCAACTAGATTTAAGTTAGTCTTTTGCCTCAGTTTTCCCACGAGTTGGGAATACCAGTGAGTGTCATTGTACCTGGCTCTTGCAGATTTTAATTTTAAATGCTACATTTATTTCTAATAGGTACTAACTATACTAAGATTCAAAGGAGAGTGATCTCTTTATTTTAGATGTACTATATTTTATAGCCTTAACCTTAAAAATGAAACAATGGCACCTTTTGTAGATTTAAAAAAAAAAGATTTGTTTAGTTTTGGTTTCTTGACAGGGTTTTTCTTTGTAGCTCTGGCTGTTCTGGAACTTTCTCGGTAGACCAGGCTGTCCTCAAACTCAAGAGTTCCACCTGCCTCTGCTTCTTGAGTGCTGCAATTCTTGCTAAGATTTATTTTTATAAGCTTTGGTCATTTTTATTTATGTGTCTATATGTATGTTTGTTAGATGTGTGCAGGTATCTGAGGAGACCTGAAGAAGGCATTGGAGCTCTTGAAGCTGGAGTTAATGGGTAGTTGTGAGACATTTGGACTTGAGTACTGGAAATCAAACTCAGATCCTCTGAAAGAGAACAAGCATTGTTAACTACTGAGCTGTCTCTCTAATTCCAAGACACATATTTTACAATTATTTTGTTATTTTATGTGCATGTGTGTTGGTATAGCACACGCATAGTTAACAGATGTTTGTGAGCCATTGTGTGGGTGCTGAGAATTGAACCTGGGTCTTTTGGAAGAGCAATCAGTGCTCTTAACTGCCAGCCATTTTCATCTTGGTAGAGACATAGGTCACTCTGTATTAACTCAGCACTTTGTGTGACTCAGGCAGGGTCTCACTATGTAGCAACCCAGGCTGTCCAGGAACTTGCCTTAATGTTCCAGCTTCAGCCTTTAAGTGTTGAGATTACAAGTGGGAGCCACTACATTGGACTTTTTCTATGTCATTTGTGAGTAATTTTTTTTTGTGAGTAATTTTATAGTTCTGTTTGTAAAAAAAACCACACACGCACAAAACATGCCATTTTTTAAATGCCATGATAGTTGATCACAATAAAGATAAGATTGATTCAAAATTTAACAAAAGTAATGTAATAGGATGAGAAATCTAGCTCGAGTAGTATTTATTAGTTTCCAGAGTCACCCTTAGAGACTATTCCCTCCCTCCTTAGTGGTCCTGTGTGTGCTCTGATTTAAGGTCCCCCTTTTAGACCTGTCTCAAGGACCTGCTACAGTGAGGCCCATACTGGACAGTTAAGCTCGATTCAGCTGGAAAAAAAAAGAAAGTGGGACCCTTTCCAGCATTGACCCAGAAGTAACGTGTTCATTCTGTGTGAGCACCTAGAGGGGGTAATCTCCAAGTTGAAGGGATATGGCTGGACAGGCTCCACCAGAAAGGCTCTCAGGGACAGAACAGGAAAATGGACAAAACTCATCGTGGGACTGTTTCCTAACCAGTCTGCACTCTAGCTGTGGTTCGTGCAGAGGTGAGTGGTGGACCTGAGACCCCAGAGTGTAAGAATCTAGATGCTTATGTATAAGTTCTGTTGTTCAGCAGTCATTACTAAGCATAAATGGTGGTCAGCATATGTGGCCTTTGGAATGTGAATACCTTTGTTCCCTGTCCTCATAGTATTTTGTTTTAGAGCAACTTTTCTGAGCCTAACCTTATCGAAAGTGCTGTGGAAGTAATTAGGTTTCTATGTGAGGAGGAGGCTGTGAGAACAGAGGGGGGGGGGGTGTCAGCCCAACACGTGGAGCCTCTATAGTAACAATGGGTTTTGGCGGGTTGCTATCACCAAAGAGATAGCATTTCTGAGAAGACTGGAATTTTTCTGCTGTTATCTGTTACTGTGCTGGGAGTGATCACAGTTCACATCTCCAGGTTGCTAGGAGACAGGCAACCTATCTCACAGCTATTGGCATGGCATACCTTTTTACCTCCTGACTTTTTTTGTATGTGTATGTTTCTTAGAACTGCCAGGCTTCCTTTCTGAAACCAAATTGTGTAGAGGAAACATGCTTCCTTTAGCCAGACTCCAGAATTATAAAGCAGGTTAGAAATGTCAAGCTAGGTTGAAATACAGAATGATACTTGAATAATTGTTTTCCTCTTTTTTGTTGCTGTCTCTCTTCTCTCATACAATGGTGATTAGTCGTGAAGAGCTGAGAATATCCTTTTAAGGCCTCAGATAATGTTAAGACTGTTGATTGAATAGTCCCTGGAACATTTGCTTTCCTAGAGCTAGCTATTTTTGCCTATGTGCTTTCTTTTCCAAGGGAAAAATTACCTTAGGTTAACAATACAATTTTGGGAGTGGCTTAAGATTAGATTGTTACAGCTAAAAAAGTGCCCAAGCCAGAAATGGTGGCATATGCCTATAATCCCATTATTTGAGACAAGGGGAGCATTAGGGGCTCCAGGCCAGCCCAAGGCACACAGGAAAACCCTATCTCAAAATAAATAAATAAAATCAATGGCTGGAGATGAAAGTCAGTGCTAAAATATTTGTACAGGTTTCATACTCAGTACTGGGAGACAGTGTCTAGATGGTAGATGCTGCTAAGAATATGGCCCAGTAACCCATGTCCAATTGAATTCTTTGTAGTAATACAGCTACTAATTTATAAGTAAATCTATATTGTAGTAATCTGGTAGGTAGCACAGGATTTGAGTTGATGCAGGCTCTGCTTCATGTCAGAACCCAGGCTCTTGTCTGTTTGTCTCAGGTGAAGTGTGCTTAGGAGATGGTGTGTTTTACAACCACCTTAGTTGACTTCCTGTGTGGTGATACTGAAAACAGGATCAGAGCCTTAGTGCTTACATAGTAGATAAATTCCCTTTATAGTGTAAACCAGCACAGTTAACAAGTGTAATCTATTGAGACATCCTTGTTTCATGGCAGTAACTTGGGTGGGCCATCCGGGGCGGCAGCAGCAGCAGGCTGACACACACACATTTAGTGTGAACTGTTTAAAAGGCTGGAGGAGGAGCCAGAGAGTCAGCTCTGCTGTAGACCGCTCACTGGCCTGGAAGTCTCAAAACCCAGGCTTTGATTCCAGCTCTAAAACACTGAGTCAGATAACTGAAGATTCAGCCACCCAGAACAGGCTGAGATATTTCCCCATGTCAGTGCTGACAGAGATTAGAAGTTTGTGTTTCATAACTGTGCCAGTTACTTAACTTTAACTTTCTGCACACACATTGATTGGATAAAATAGGGCTTGGTTTGCTTGTCTTCAATCTTTATCCCACCAAATTGCTTTTCTAACTTAAAGAAATTTACAAGAAATGGATATTCTGAAATTAGAGCCTAAATGTAAATAAGCAGAAATCCTTTATACTTTTCATTACCTAAAGATAGTGCTGAGGGGCTGGAGAGATGGCTCAGAGGTTAAGAGCACCGACTGATCTTCCAGAGGTCCTAAGTTCAATTCCCAGCAACCACATGATGGCTTACAACCATCCATAATGAGTTCTGGTGCCCTCTTCTGGCCTCCATACATGGAGACAGGATGTTGTATTCATAATAAATAAATCTTAAAAAAAAAAGATTGTTGTCCCCATTTTAAAAAAAAAGATAGTACTGAATTGTAGATATCTGTCATTCTTGATCTTCTTTCCATTAAATAGTTATCTTTTTACAAACAATAACACAGTGCACATTGTTTGATAAAAATCAGACCTTTTCATGTATAATTCTGTATGTAAGTATCCAAGTTGTTTTCTTTGTATTTTTGCTTTTTAAAAAAATTTTTTTTGATAGTTGGGCATGGTGGTGCATACCTGAAATCTCAACACTTGGGAGTAGAGGTGGGGAGATCAAGAGGAGTTCGAGGCCTTTGTCAGCTACTTGACAAATTTGAGGCAAGCTTGGCCTACATTTCATTTGGCTTTTTTTCTGTTTTCTTTTTAGATTGGCCTCATTTTATGTAATCGAGGCTTATCTACAACTCTTAATGTTCCCTCCTCAGCTTCTCAAGCTCTGGGACTACAGGAATGTACCATGTGTACTTGGAGTATGATTCTTATGTAACTTTATCTTTTTGTCTCATTTCCATGTAATAACTCCCTGGGAGTTATTAAAAAAGGGTTTGCACATTTTAAGGCTTCCATATGAGCTACTCTAGCTTTTAGGTTTGCATCTTTTGAACTTGTTTTGTGTGTGTTAATATCTGACATTTTTGTTCAGTTGCAGAATGAAGAGGAGCCTGGGGAACCTGTGCAGACTGCAGGTGATGCTCCTCCGCCATACAGCAGCGTTTCTGCAGAGAGCGCAGGTGGGTACTGAGGCCAGGCCTAACACGACACAGACCCTTCCAGAAGATGCTGTTTGGTGCTGTCTTCTCATCAGTTTTTCATAAATGTCTTGGCTTGAATTTTAATTTGTAGCCCAAGGCGAAAACTCATGTTCCTCTAAAAGCCAGATTAACACCCCTCACCCCGCCCCCAAGCTGGTAAAGAAGGACTTTGTTAGTGGTAAGGAGGATGCACTGTAAGATACACCAAGAAGATGACCCTCTGCATAGCAGAAGGGAGGCTCCGGAAGCCAAAGTCCCCAAGCCCCACTTACCAGTGCTGCCTTTTTAAAGAGCTCACTTCCATTCCAGCTGATGTATAAAGGAAGGGGAAACTGAGGAACAGGCTTGGTGTGGTGTCTGTATGCCTGCAGCCTCAGCAAAAACACAAAGAAGAAAGGAACGAAGGTTTGAGTGATCACTTGGTTTTCATTATAGAAGCTCCTCTGTAGGAGAGAGAAAACAATGTCTATAGAACTTTTGATAGCTAGAATTTCTGATAATCATCATTTCTGTTATAGTCCCGTCCCCGTCTTGGCACTCACTTTGTAGACCAGGCTGGCTTTATATGAGAATATTTTGCTTGCATAGAGACCGTAAGATTGTTGAAACTGGGGCTGCAGATGGTTGTTAACTACTGTGGGTGCTGGGAATGGAACCCAAGTTCTCTGCAAGAGCAGCAGGTGCTCTTAGCCACTGAACCATTACTTCGGCCCCCGTTCATCAGCTTGATAGAGCTGCTTCCATATTCTGTTACACAGGATTGTGGCAGAGTGGCCAATAGAGAGCCATGTGCCGCTTCTGAGCCCAGCCTCTATTTCATCATAAGAAAATTGGTATTCCACATCTCTGAAGCTACCGTTTTAATTGTGTGGGGCATAGGTCAAGCATTTCACCTCTAGTCTGGCTTGAGTTTCTGAGCTCTGGTCTTGGTCTTCTTGAATTTCTATTTATTTACAGTAGTTCTTTATTCTTCAGTTTCCTTACAGTAGTTATGGTTCACTTATTTGTGAGCTCCTGAAACTTACTCTGTTAAATTTCAGTCTTCGGAAGAACTCTCAGTTATCTCATGAAATCAGCCTAAGGCGAGGACTCCAAGAGATGGGAGTATATGTAGCTCAGTGGTAGAGTTCTTCACTGCCATGTGTGAGGCCTGGGTTTGTTCCCCAGCCCTGTAAGCAAAACAGCCTTTTAAAGATAGAACACCAAAACTTAGAAAAGAAATGACAATTTATGACTTTCATACTGTGCAGTGCTCTTGCTTCCCAGTGCAGATTACAGGTGTGTGCTACCATACTCAACTCATGGTCATAAATACTGCTCATCTCTGAAATGTACCCAACATATTAATAAGAGTTTGGATTAGCTATTCCATTCATGATATAAAGTCCTTTACAATTGCTACCCTTTCTGACTAGTATTTGAAAATCTACCCTCTGTTGTAAAATTTTGGGGTTTTTTTGGGGGGGAGGGGTATTGGTTTTGTTCATTGAGGCAAGGACCTCATAGCCCATATAAGCAACTCTATATAGCTGAAGCTGGCCTTGAACTCCTGGTCCTCCTGCCTCCAACTTTTAACCATTTTAGATATTCTTTCTCAAATACTTCTGTCTTATTCATATGCATCCTATATTATTCCTAAAGAATCTTCTTTTGACGTAGGGATTAGACAACTGGAAATAATCTCTGGCAGTAAATCCCATTAAATTGTAGAGTCATGTCTTTATCAGTTTAGAGGGAGGGTGGGAGAGAGAGACAGAGAGACAGAGACAGAGAGAGAGTGTGTGTGTGAGTGTTTGAGATACAATCTCATGTGTTCACAATGCTCGTGGGCACTTAAGTAGATTTCTGGAGCTCTCTGGTCAGTCAGTCTAGCCAATTGGTGAGCTCCAGGTTCAGTGAGAGACCTTGTTTCAAACAAAAAGGAGTATTGGCAACCTCACATTCACACACATGAACTTGTATACAAGTATACACCACACACTCAGACATCTCTCCCACACAAAACCGGAGGAGAAAAGGTTGAAAATAACCAGGCTAATCCCAGCATTTGGGAGGCAGAGGTAAGTAGGTCTCTGAGTTCAAGGCTAACCTGGTCTCCAGAGCAAGTTCCAGGACAGCCAGGGCTACACAGAGAAACCCTGTCTGGAAAAACTGGAGGTTGTGGGGTGGTTTGAAAGCCATAGAGGAAGGTAGGTAATGTTGACTTCTAGCCTCCCCGTGTGCTTACATGTATGTTCACCACAAACATTCATGCATATATCTCTCTCTCTCTCACACACACACACACACACACACACACACACACACACACGTACGTACGCACGCACACACACACACACACACACACACACACACAAGTTAGCATCTGTGTAATGTCATCCAACTTAGGAACATGGTCAAACACTCTCCCACCCCCTTTTATTGAGATTTTGTTTGTTGTTGGTATATGCAGGTATAGCTAATGGCTTATAGTAACTGTATATCTGGAACATTGCCGTTCATGCATTTAACTAGCCTTTGGATTATTTTGGGTTTTCTGTGTATGCAGTATCATCTGTGATTGCCAATTACCAATTACATGTTGCTTTCTGGTTCTTTTTTTTCCTCCTTCATATACCATATTGCAACACCAAAGATTTCTAAGAGAGATTTGGTTAGATGTGGTGATGGTAGACATTTTGTCTTGTTCTTTAATACTTTTTTTTAAAGGTTTATTTTTACTTTATTTTTTAAGTTTATATATCTTTTCTTTTTGTATATGTATGCCATGTTTGTGTGGGTGTCAGCAGAAGCCAGAAGAGGGCATGAGAGTTACAGGAGGTTGTGAGCTTTATAATGCGGGCTCTGAGAACAATATTGAGGGCCTTCCGAGTGAGTGGCAGCAAGCTGAGCTGTCTGTCTCTGCAACCCTTTGTTGTCTAACTTGAGGAAGAAAGCCTTTAATAATTCACCAGTGATGATGGTGTTTTCTCTGGGTGTTTATCTGTTTGCAGTACTGGGCATGTGAGGCAACTGCTCTCCACTGGCTATTGTATAGCCCAGATCACATGAGCGAGTGTTCTCCAGACATTGAGCAAATTAAGGAAGTTTTCTTATTTTACTTTTTTTAAACGATATTGAATTTTTGTTGCTTTGTTTTGAGAAAGGATCTCCATAGTTCAGATTGTCCTCAAATACTATGTATAGGGAGATTAATCTTGAACTTCTGGTTTTCCTGCCTCTGCTGGAAAGTGTTAGGATTATAGGCTGTATCCCACACCCAACACCTGAATACTAGGTGTGATGGCTCATGCTTGTAGTACCTGCCCTCAGCTGAGACTGAAGACAGTCTGAGTACAGACTGAGTACGTAATCTTTTAAAGACGTATTTATGTATTTTGTATATCCGAGTGCTGTATTTGCATGTGTGCCTGCATGGCAGAAGAGAGCTGTCTTGTGAGTGCTGGGAATACTGAGCCATCTCTCCAATCCCCCGGACTGAGTTTTATGTGGCTAGATCCTACTACAGAAGAAGATGAGGAGGAGGAGAAGGAAGAGGGAGATTATTACTCCCTTTTTGCTTTCTATTAATGAAGATGGTTGACAACTTTAATAATGTTTTAAGGTAAAGACGTGTAAAGTTAGCTAGTGTAGTAAGTAGTTCATACTTCTAATACCAGTGCCCTGGAGGTCAAGCAAGGCGTGGCAGAGGTAGATAGCTCTAGGCCAGCCAGGGCTACACAGCAACAAAAATTTACAGAGAAGCTAATTTTTAACTAGAAAGTAAAAGAAAGACAATGTTAAATGAACTATAGGATTTTCGTTTTTTGAAACTTAAAATGTTTAAAAGTTTAATCTTGTAAATACATCTTTTCTGTTATGCTAAAAAGTAGAAGTCAGTGAGCATGAGATACAGTGTTCAAAAGAGGAAGTGAAAATTTTCATAGAGAGAATTATTTTGTAATCAAATTAGTTCAGCACATCAGAGAACAGTTTGAAGTAAAAATATGAGTCCAAGTACAGGAACACATGAATACTAAGCTTTTTCCTTTTTCTTAAGGTTGATTTTTTGCCTTTTTTTTAATAAGAGGAAACCACAGTATAGATCTTAGTACGAATGTGAAGGATTTTTAGTCCTTTGACAGGAGATCTTGCTATGTTGCCTAGTCTGGGCTCAAACTTGTGACCGTCCATCTCCCAAGTATCTGAGATTATAGGCACAGCCACTGTGCCTATCATGTAAAGTGTTAGCCAAAGTGTTTTCCATCCCTACTTAAATTACCAGGTCTGATGTTCACTTAGGAGTCTGGGACAGGAAGATTGTAAGTTCAAGGCAGCCTGGATAAAAAGAGGATTACAGATGTGGCTTGGTGGTAGAGTGTTCATACACAAAGCCCTGGGTTTGATCATCAGTATCTCAGAATAAATGCCTGTTAGGTTCAGAGTGGTCCAGAATAATTGGAAATAAAAATATGAAGTGAGTTTTTACGTATGTATTTTGAGTCAGGGTCTCACAGTGTAGCCTTGGCAAAATTGGAACTTGCTACGAAGAATAGGCTGGCCTTGAACTCACAGAGATCCACCTTCCTGCCTTTGCCTCCTGAGTGCTGGTACTAAAGGTGTGATGAATCTGGCTTTTAAATGTGCATTTAAAAATCATCCTGAGTGTCTTGTCACATTCGTTTATAAGTGCCTTTTGCTTCAGTAGATTTTACTTCCTTTTTTTCAGCAGCGTACTTTGACTACAAAGATGAATCTGGGTTTCCAAAGCCCCCATCTTATAATGTAGCTACAACCCTGCCCAGTTATGATGAGGCTGAGAGAACCAAGACTGAAGCCACCATCCCTTTGGTTCCTGGAAGAGTAAGCCGCTCGTTTTCATTTGTTTGCTTTGTGTTTTATCTATGTTGTTTGGGGGCTACTTAGTTGGAATTAAGTTATTTTCAGTACTCAGTATTGAGTTACTAGAATTTGGTTACAGTTAATTTTAAACACATAAATTTCATTTTGAAAACTAAGCACCTTTTCCTGAAAATGATACACCCAGCAGAAAATTACTCACCTGTTCATCTTCCTGTATCTCTAAGGGTACTGCCACTACCACCTCCATTTTAAGCCTCCTGGGGTGGGAGGAGAGGACTTAGAAAAATATACTGACTATGCCTTGATTTATACACTTAATATTTTGGTATTAGTTCATAGCTATAAGGGATGCCTATGGAGAGAAGAAATACAAATGACATCATTGAATTAAAACCTAGCATCATCTAGATAAACCTTGTGCCTCCAATATTCCAGATCATGGAATTTGTGTGCCATTTCTAAGTTCAGATCTCATCTAGCCTGCTGGAGATAGGAGTGGGATGTGATATAACCTAGCAGAGATTTAAGATAGAATCAGATAGGAGTAGGGGTGTAACTCAGTTGTGCTTGCCTAGCATGTACAGAGCCGTGGCTGTGAGCCGAAACACAGCATACATCAAATATTATGGCTTACACTTGTAAGCCCACTGCTCAAGAGGAGGAAGCAGGAGGATCACAAGGTGAAGGTCATCCTCAGCTGCATACTGAGTTCATAGCCAGCCTAGGACACATGGGATGCGGGAAGAAAGGAATCAAACATAAGCAAACACTCAGCACAGTGGCGGCAGCAGCAGGCCGCACCGTCTAGTGTGCCAGATCTTGTGCAGCCATGGACCCCTAGCTCTACGCAAAAGTCAGTAAGCAAGCCAGGAGTGGTGGCTCACCCTTTAATCCCAGCACTCGGGAGGCAGAGGCAGGCGGATCTATCTGTTCAAGGCCAGTCTAGTCTACAAAGCAAGTTCCAATACAGCCAGGGTTATACAGAAAAACTGTCTTGGAGGAAAAAAAAGCAGTAAAAAAAAAAAGAAAGAAAGAAATCAAGTAAAAAGTACAGGAGAATCCTGCACAGGAAGTTTCTCTGTTCTGCCCCATCCTACAGCTGTTTCAAAATAATCACTCATGGGCTTAATATTAATTACAAACTGTTTTGTCTGTGTTCAGGCTGTCTGTGTTCAGGCTTATTACTAACTAACTAGCTCTTAGATTTAAATATTTAAATTAACACATTCCTTTTAGTCTATGTATTGCCATGTGGCCATGGCTTTTACCAGTCTACTGGCAGAAGAGTTATCCCACAGCATTCCTTTATTGGGTCTAACATTGCAGCACTGAGGAGGCAAGGCAGCAAGGAGAATTTGTCTCCTAGCCAATTTAACAAGCATACCCAAATGCCCTGACCAGCAGGGCGCCACGGGGCCAGCCCACGGAATCTGGAATGGTGGAACAGGAGATACAAAGAACTGACAGCAAGACAGATTTTCTGATCAAGCTGCATTTATTGAGGGTCTTGTATGAGCTTATATAGAAAAATGTAGCATTGGCCATGGGGCAGAGGTTTTTAAACTGGAGATGCTGAGAAGGTGGGGGGGCTGTTAGATCGGGGAGCGTTTGATATGCGAAAGAGCAGGATATCTCACTAGGGAGTGTAGGTGTTACTGAGGCACTGGGTTATCTGTGGGAAGTGCCTTGGGGCAAGAAAAAGAGTTTCTGGTCCTCAACACCCAAACAGCTTACTTAAATGCCAGTGAAGAGGGTGTTTGCATCGATAGCCACTGATCCTTGGTGCAAGGGGAGGCTTCTGTTTGTGCCTGTCGTGATCTTACATTCTGTGCCAGGCGTAGCAATGCCTCTGCTGGGCCATGTTCCCTCTGCTCTAGCACCTTTGTTTGTTTATTTGTCCTGGAATTAGCCTGTGCTCTGACATTCTTAATAATGCTTAACTCTGGGCTGGAGAGATAACCCAGTGGTCAGGAGCACTGGCTGCTTTTCCAGAGGTCCTGAGTTCAATTCCCAGCAGCCACATGGTAGCTCACAACCATCTATAATGTAATCTGATGCCCTCTTCTGGCATACAGACATACATGCTGACAGAACATTCATACCTCACAAAATACATAATAAATAAAATTTTTAAAAGAAAAAAATAATGCTTAACTCCTGCCCAGTGTTCCAATAAGAGGTGGGTCTCCTTTATGTGCTTCCTGCAGGCATGTTACTGTACTCTGCAGCTTGTTGGAATCTGTGTGAATACATCAGTGCAGAATTAGCTCTGATTAACTATAGAACACTTACGGGCGGTGGTGGCGCACGCCTTTAATCCCAGCACTCAGGAGGCAGAGGCAGGCGGATCTCTGTGAGTTCGAGGCCAGGCTGGACCGTCAGCCTCCAAAACAATACAGAGAAACCCTGTCTCGTAAAAACCAAAAAAAAAAAACAAAAAAAAACAAAACAAAAAAAACCCTATAGAATACTTACAATTCTTTAGACAGCTATACATAGTTGGGAAATTTTTAAAGGTAGATATATAGAAGTACTTTTAAATTTAGGGTGCAGTGTATTTTGCAGTGGGTAATGAGATTTGTTTGCATCAGTGCATGCAGCCTGACATCCAGCTTAGGTAAAAGGCTCCCTCATACACTTACCTATACTGCACAAGAGCTGTGGACATCAGGAACTGTGTCTTTTTACTAGATGATCCAGGTTGGCCTCAAACTCAACAGAGACCTACCTCTCTCTCCCTCCCAAGTGCTGGGATATTAAAGGTATGCATCACCATCTCCTGGCATATCCAGTTTCTTTCAAATCACTCAATACATAGTCTACATCATTTGAAAAGGTAGGCTACATACCTTGGTGTTGGCCAGGATCATGTTCCTTCTAGACTATAATAATGTCTTTTCAGATTTGGATGGACAGATCTGTACAAACAAGTGTTACCAAGCCATGGGCATCCATGTGCTCTTCATGGCTGAGCATTCTATGCTTGCCCCTTGCATCAGCCTCAAGAAGCACTTGAACTGCCAATGTTACCTCTTTAATGGGCTCTTGATTCCTGATATTATAGGCCTCCAACAGGTACTGGGTAGGTGGTACCCTAGAGTCTAAATCACATGTGTAGATGATATTTTTCTTTTCTGAGATAGGGTCTCACTATGTATTTCTTAGTGGGCTAGAAGTCACTATGTGGACAGGCTGGCTTGGAGGTTACAAAGACCACTTGCCTTTGCCTCTTGAGTGCTGGGGTTAGTTAAAGTTGTGTGCTACCATTCCCAACTGAGGGGTTTTCTTGAAGGAATTTGGTATGGGGCTAGAAATGTAACTTAATGGTAGAGCTCTTGCTTAGCATTTGTGAGGTCCTAGGTTCAGCCCCAACACAAAGAATAACTAATAATAAGAATAGTAACTTGGTCTATAAAATAAAAAAAGTAGTTTAGAAACCTCTGGAGATATTAACATGATGAACCTTTAATGCTTTTTAGTTCTGAACTGAACCCAGTAATAAATGCACTCCTAGATACTAGTATTCACTCCTTATATTTTTCTGATGTCATTCCTTTGTCTAGAAATAATTGATCATGATTTGTCTTATTTTTTTTCCTTTATTTAGGATGAAGATTTTGTGGGTCGGGATGATTTTGATGATACTGACCAGCTAAGGATAGGAAATGATGGGATTTTTATGTTGACATTTTTCAGTGAGTATACACACACAGCAGTCACTTCCTACAAACCCAAGTGTTCTGAATTGATAGAGAATATAATTAAAGCAAGTATGGGTGCTGCATGTCTAACACACACACAGGGCCCATTACTATTACTACTGCTCTTACCCAGATGGCCGAGTGAATGGAACAACTTTGTCTGGTGGATTCTGTTCTGCAAATGTCTATTTTTCTGATAGATCGAAGTCAGTCTGACTTCCCCCTTGTTAATGTTTTATGTGTGTCTTTTTATGTACCTCACTTACCAGTGAGCATCTGTTTGCTCCATTAAAATCACAAAATGCAGGACAAAACAAGAGACGGCTGGGAGCTGTCAGAAGACACAGCAGAAGGATGAGTAGTGATGTGAGCCACGTTTACCTGGAGGCTCCAGTCTCCTACCCAGAGTGTTCAGTTTACTTACTAACCTGTATGGTAGCAAAGACGGCAGCACACAGAGCATGCAGTGCCGATTTCCTTGCTTTTGAGGAGATGAAAGAAAAGGTGCTTGTGGAGAGGCAGAGATGGTTTGTCAAGGGCAGGTTGTCTTACACCCTTGGGAAAGCCGCGTGAGCAGAGGCTGCTGCAGAGAACACTCCTGTTCCTTGGCTAACATATCTTTCCCTCCACTCTTACAGTGGCATTCCTCTTCAACTGGATTGGATTTTTCTTGTCTTTCTGCCTGACCACCTCAGCTGCGGGAAGGTATGGGGCCATCTCAGGATTTGGTCTTTCTCTAATTAAGTGGATCCTTATTGTCAGGGTAAGTTGCAAAGCAGAAAATGTAGATTGTGTAGAGAGGCAGTAACTAGAATGACTGGATATTTAATTTTTCGTTTTCATTTTTTGTTGTCTCTAAAGTGATAATCTGGTGTGTCTGTTCTGATTCATGATAAGTGAGCTAAAACCAGTTGCACATATCCCTGTCTCCTGGTCTCGTGTGCAGATTTAGGAGGTGCTCTGTCTTACAGGCTGTTTTGCTGCATATGATGTGCTACTGGGTATAGACACCTGGAGATTGTGTGATGCAGAGCACGTCATCTCTGTACTGTTTCACGACATTGGCCGTCCTGCCCTGGGGGTCCCCAGTTCATATCTCATAAAATAATTTAAATTCTAGAACATACATGTACCTTAAAAAATAGCTTTAATTTGTTAAAAGCCACACAACTGTATAAAAATGGTTTCAGAAAGGGAACCAAGGTCTACAAGGTGCTTGACCTAGTGTTGTAGAAGTTCTTCAATAAGCCCAGGATGTGCTTGTGCTCAATCTTTTTGAACTCAGGGCTTGGGCCATTCCCAGAGAGTGTTCTATGAATACTCTTTGATGATATGCCTGATGATCTTGATGGAGTTACCATGTATGTCAGGGTCTGTTACAAAGTTTACTTTAGAAACCCTGGTGTAGAACCAGATTCACCATTGGGTCCAATACTTGTTTAAAGTATAGTTTGCTTCCACACATGGGCACACACCTTTAATTCTAGAGATGGGTGGATCTCTACAAGTTCAAGGCCAGCGTGGCTACATAGAGTTCCAAGCCTGGCAGGACCATGCAGGGAGAGCCTGTCTACAAACAGCAAAGAAACAAAACACGTGTGAGCACTTACTCTTAAGCATGAGGACCCCGGTTTTGATTCTCCACTCACATAATAAGGGGGGCATAGCTGCGCGTGTCTGTGACCTCAAACATTGGAGAGTGGAGATAGGCAGGTCTGTCCAGGTAAAAAGGCAGGCTTCTGATTTAGTGAGACCTTGTCTCGAGGAAATGAAGTGAAGATTTAGAGGAAGACACCTGAAGACTGCACACTCTGGTTCTCTCTGTGCCCGTGCATGGGGGTGCATGTTTGTACCATACACGAACACCGCACATTAACTAGTGGGTGTTAACTGGCCAGTGCAGTTTTCAGAGCAGTTCTAAAGAACTCATTGGCTATTTTAGAAATCCAGACTCCTTTGAAAATTAGGTAATTGCATGGTTTTCTCCTCTGGGTGGTTAATTTATATTCATCTAAAAACATGAACTTTAGGAAAAAAACAAACAGTCAGAACCTATAGACTTTAAAACCAAGTCCAAGAGAAGTTGTCATTTCTTAAAAAATTTTTAAGATTTATTTATTTATTTATTATGAATGCAGTGTTCTGCCTGCATGCCAGAAGAGGGCATCAGATCTCATTATTATAGGTGGTTGTGAGCTACCATGTAGGTGCTGGGAGTTGAACCCTAGTCCTCTGGAAGAACAACCAGTACTCTTAACCTCTGAGCCATCTCTTTTTTTTTTTAAGTTTTAATTGTTGTTTTGTTAAGAAATCAAATATTAGGAGCTGGGAAGATGGGTCAGGGGGAAAGTGCTTGCTACAAAAGGATTCCTAAAGCCCAAGTAAAAGCCACATGTAATAGAGCTCGCTTTGTATTAGCAGTGCTCCTGTGGGAGATGGAAGGCAGAGAGACAAGAGTCCTTGAAAGGAAGGGAGCAGGCCAGCTAGCACCTGTGTGTAGCTTAGGGACACACCCCCTTTTTAAAACAAGGTGGGAAGCTAGGACCTGAAGTCCTTCCCTGACTCCCACATGCATGCCAAGCAGGCGTGCACACACTTGTGCACGGAATTAGAAGTGAAGTGTACTCTGGAGCTTCCTGTCTCTGCTTCTCAGCTGAGTCTGAATTTGTCAGAAACACTTGATTGTTTTGTTTTGAGACAGAGTCTTATTATTTAGCCCTAGCTGGACTGGGACTTGCTGTGTTGACCAGACTGACTGTGAACTCACAGAGATCCACATGCCTCTACCTTTTGAGTGCTGGGATCAAGGGCAGGCACCACCATGCCTGGCTCCAATTCATAAGTTATAGATGGCATGCCATACAGAACAGAGTAAACTTGCCTTGCTTGGGAGTGAGCCATCCTGGTTATCAGACTGTCTTGGGATTGCAGTGCACAAGGTTGATTATCCTTATTTAAATGGTGATGGTCCCAGATTGCAGATGGCAGTTTGTATATGCCAAAGAGAAGTCACATGCTTTTAGTAAAAGGTGACAGTTTCACATAATCATGAAAGAAAAAAAATCCCACATTGAGGTTTCTAACATCTTCATGGCAGCAAGGGTTTTTTTTTAAGAACTTTTTTTAAACAAGCTTGTTTCTAATTTAAATTTAAAAACAAACAAACAGAAAAGTTATTGAATTAAAAAAGAAAGAACTTTTTTGGAGGGGGTTGGTTTTTTGAGCTAGGGTTTCTCTGTAGCTTTGGAGGCTGTCCTGAAACAGGCTGGAGTTCTAGTGTCACACTAAGACACAGCAGTACTTCACAGAAGAGCGTGACCTGCACGTGCATTTAATTTACCCTGGCGAATGAAAGGCACAGCCTGGTGTCAGAGTATGCTAGTGCACCGACTCTTCATCCTGTGATCTTGAGGCTGACAGAGAGCTGCAGCTGGCTACCGCCACCCAGCATCCTGAGAGACTTAGTTTTGTCCTGTCTATCACAAGGCTGGGGAAAGACTCAAATGCAGAAGATGGTTTTTACTAAATGCATATTGTTCTTGTTCTGACATAAAGTTAACCACTTTTGTTAGGGGCCATCTGTACTCTTTTCTTACTTGCCAGAAGAATGCCCTGTGCCAGTTCCTGGCAAAGGTATAGGATTACCATGAAGTACATGATACCAAGTTCAGATTGAAGGCTAGGTACAAATTGGACCTCATTGGCAAGGTGACAGTGATGCCAACCAAATAATCTCCTTTAGTACTGAGTATATACAATGAAACTAGAAATATGTTTAGATGGGAAATACTTTGTGGAGCATTGCCAGGATTACAGGCATGCACCACCATGCCAGAGATTCTGAAAGGTTTTCTAACAAAAGAAGAAAGTATGTGCCACAAGTGTATTATCCAGTTCTTGGGAGGCTGACGAAGGAGCATGACTAAGTCCAGCCTGAGCTATATACCAACCCCTATCCTCAACACAAACATGTTTGTTTGTATGTATGTATGTATGTATGTATGTATGTATGTATGTATGTATATTGTATATATGTGACAGCTGTGTTTTGTGTGCTCCTGTATTGGTAAGTGAAATTGTTCTGTTAGGCTGCAATGAAGTTTCTGCCTTTTTTTTTCTTCCAGTTTTCCACTTATTTCCCTGGATACTTTGATGGCCAGTACTGGCTCTGGTGGGTGTTCTTGGTTTTAGGTAAGTGCTTTTAACAAAAGAAAATGAAGTAAAAAGCCATATGTCTTAACTCTTTAAGAAAATGTCTTAAATTAGACAGCTAAAATTGCTTTAGTAAAGTCTCATCTCTGTGTATTGTATTTACCATCAATTTAAATGCAATTTTTAGATGTTTCTTCCAAAAAGACTAGGTAGTTTCCACCTGTAGAGTAGCGTGCATGTTAAAATAGGTCTGTGAAGTGCTTTTCTATCCCATTTATATTTGATAAATGGAGCATACTAATGACAGTACAATACAGTGTGGAGTTTTTTCTACTTATGAGTTATTTCCGCAGAGGGTTTGCAAACTCAACCCCAAGTTGATTGTAAGTGTGCTGTAATCAATTGAATTAATTCATGTATATTTGTGAGCGCCTTTAATTAGGCCTATCAGTAGATCACAGAAAATGTATAGCTCTAATACACATAACTTCTGAAATTACAGGGTTTACAGAATTCTGTAGTTCATCATTGATAAGAAGACTTAGAAAAAGGAAGTTCTAAAACTATATACGCACACATACATACATATTTACACGCACACTGCCCTGGCCACCAGGGCACAACGGGTTCGAGCCATGGGAACCTGGAATGAATGAGACAAGAGACAAGAGGAGATGGACAGCAAGACAACATGGCTGGTCAAGCTGCTGTTTAATGAGAATTCTGTACAGGCTTACATAGGGGAATGTGGCATTGGCCATGGGGCAGAGGTTGTTAGACCGAGACGCTGGGATGTGAGGCAGGGGGCTGTTAGGAGCAGGGAGGTTTGATATGCAAGAGAGCAGGAGATCTCACCAGGGAGTGCAGGGGTTAGTGAGGCATTGCTAAGCCGTGGGTTAGCCATCTGTGGGAAGGCGCCTGAGTTTTGGGAAGTGTCCTGGGGTAAGAAGTAGATTTAGATTCAATGACCTCGTCCCCAACACATAAGTATATATGTGTGTGCATGCACACATGAAGGCAATCTGGCTATTAACCTTCCTAAACTACTAAAGCAAAGAAATTAGTATTGGGATGAATATTTTTGATGTAGCTTTGTTATCTATAAAGAAATATATGTAATGAGACATTACTGCTGTCATGTCTACAAAGCGATAACAGAGCTACCCAGTAGCTTTTAAAGATGATGGAGCTGGAGAGATGGTGTTCACATTTAGTTCCTGCTTTACACACCTTGTATCTTGTGAAAGCTGTTGGTGTACTGTTGCTCATGAATCTGGCTGCTCAGCCTAGCACCTAAGCCCAGTAGGAACTTGACTTGAGACCTGCCTTTGTTAGCCAACAAATTCATGCATTCCTGACCATGAGTCTTCCTTAGAAAACGAAAGCCATCCACGATCTCATTCTCTGCCTCCTCCACTGAAGCATCGTCTAGTCTTGCTCATGATTCCAGAAAGAGATGGGGAATTTCCCACTCCCATGAGTTCCACAAATTTAGTGAAAATGAGTGGCAGGAGAATAGCTCAGAAGGAATCCTTTCTTGTTTATTCTCTCAGATGGACCCTGACAGAAAGGCAAGGTAGGGTGTTATGCTCAGTAGCCTAGGAGCTCTGAACCAAAGGAGAGACAGTAAACATTTCAGATGGGTTGTTTGCTGTATAACTTAAAGGATTTTTATTAATTATTCTTGCTGTGTTCTATTTCTGTATTATAAGCAAAAAATGGGGGGGGTGCTTTGGCCAGGTGTTGGTGGTGCACGCCTTTTGTTCCAGCACTCAGGAGGCAGAGGCAGGTGGATCTCTGAGTTCAAGGACAGCCAGGGCTACACAGAAAATAAAAAACAAAGGTGCTTTTGTTTGTTTGTACTCTCAGTTTGAAGTGTGTTTGCGTCCTCTCTTCGGGTCTCTTTGGAAGCTTCTGTAGGGATCGATAGAGCACACCCAAGCTGGTGGCTCAGGAGATATAGCTAACCTGCACTGTAGTTTGTTTATCCCACTTGTTATTACTGTTGTTGTTGTTGTTTTGGTTTTTTGAGAAAGAGTTTTTTTTGTGTGTGTGTATCCCTGGCTGACCTGGAATTCTTGTTGCTTAGGCTGTCCTTGATCTCACAGAGATCCACTTGCTTCTGCCTCTTGGGTATTGGGATTAAAGGTGTGTACCACCACCCACTGGCCAAAGCCCCCCTTTTTTGCTTATTAATATAAAAATAGAACACAGCGAGAATAATCAATAATAAAATATCACTCTGTTTTCCAATTTACCTTAATTATTTTTAAAGTTGTTTTTAATTAGTTGATATCTAAAAATCAAGATATTTTACACAAATATCTTGGATTTTTGCTTTTCTTGGCAGTTGAAATACGTAGTAAAAACTCTCCTGCATTCCCAAGGGGCACCCAGCGGCCTCTCCGTTCCAATGATGGAGCTTCTGTTTGATGAGCATATTAAGTGTTTCTGTGGTTTTGGTGTCAAACTGAATGACAATCAGTCCCAATGCAGGAAACTCTTGGCTCCACCAAAGAAAGAGGAAAAAAGGAATTCTCAACACCGAGTTTGTTTAAAAATTCCTCAGACAAGATAGGTTAATGATTCTTGGAAAGAGGAGGAGAGAGAGGTGACTAAGCATCAGCTACTCAGATCTAGGTTTAGGAGCGTGATGACAGACGGGCTCTAAAGCTAGACTGTGAGCTTGGTACACTGCCGCACACCTTTAATCCCAGCACTTGGGAGGCAGGGGTCAGCCCAGGACAGTCAGATAGTAGTTGTTGTACAAGTCTGTAAATGCAATAAAACCCAGTGTATTGTATGCAGTGAAGTTAGTAGCATGCAGGTTGTATCTCAATAAAAGTATTAGAGTCCTGTGGAAGAATGTCTCTGAAGGAAGGTTACGAGTGTGCTTTCATTGCCATCTTGAATGTGAGCGTGGTGCTGTGAAACCATCTCTAAGAGTACAAAACTACATTATGTAAGTGGATGCTGACATCTAGTGGACAATGTTGTGTACTGTTGGCAGAAAAAGAAAAGATTAGAATTATGCTTGAGAAAAGTGAGGTTGTGGTGTGTGCCTGTAATCCCAGAACACTTCAGAGACAGAGGCAGGAAAATTAGGAGTTGAAGGCCAGCCTGTGTATTGAGCCCATATTTCAGAAAACAAAACAAAACCCATTTGTAATCTCTTTTTGGGAACTCAGCAGGCAGATTCTGTAGACTTCCCAGCAAGGACTCCACATGTAAATGTTTGGTCCCACTTTATATTCCAATTCCTTTTTGAGGGCAATCAGATCCTATCCAAAAGAGGTGCTTACACTTGAGAATGTGCTTCCCAAATTGAAAAGTGGATGACTTAATAGGAAAGCTCTTTGGAGATGCTTGCTGAAATAGGTTTCAGCAGGAAAATGACATGCTTCTGTTACAAGGGCGTAGTTCTGGGGAAGGGACTTGATGTAGAAATGAAAAGTTCATTCTTGACTTTTCTTTTTTTAATTAGGCTTTCTCCTGTTTCTCAGAGGATTTATCAATTATGCAAAAGTTCGGAAGATGCCAGAAACTTTCTCAAATCTCCCCAGGACCAGAGTTCTCTTTATTTATTAAAGGTATTGGGGGAGGGGTGGAATGTATTTTATAGTACCATTGTGATCATGTGATACATTGCAGAGCTTCAGTTTCGAAAGAGATAAGGGTACACATAAATGGTGGGGGGGAATAGAAAGTTCTTGCCTTTTCCCTGTTTTCATTGGAGGGGTGGTGTCTGCAGAAAGCTCTTGATGAGGGTTAGGGAGAATAAGAGAAATGTGTTGGCAATGTAAAGAGTCACAGTAGTGACAGGGGCCGGTAGGGAATTGATGGCGTGATGGATCCAAGGGAAAGAGAGAAACCTTTCCTATACCTGGGGCAGATGTAAGCGTTGAACTGTGTTTGATTTCACACAGTGTCCCCAGTAGCTAACTTCCACCTTCCACCAGCAGCTACCTGAAGGGTGACATAGCTTGGGAAAGAATATAGCAGAGAGCCCTCTGACAAGGCAGGCTGTATCTTTGTGGACTTGATTCTTTGCTCCTTGGGCTTTTGGGACTTGTATGTTTGATAGAATAAAACCTAAAGCACCACTTAAATGCCGTCCAATTGAACGAAGGTTCAGAAGGGTCTTGTGATACCTGTGTGTAGCAGTTGTCACAAATCTTAAATGATAGGTAGAATTCAACTTGTGGAATGTGGCTTATGTGGGGGATAACTTCAGTCTCCTGACGCATAGTGGAGAACACAAACAGACTGCAACTCAGGGTGGCTGTGGGTTACCTTTATAAACAGTGCTGGGGGTCAGCTACATTCTCCCTCCAAAGCATCACTACTAACTATAGTAACCTGATGGGGTAGTCTTAACTGCCCTGTAGGAATGTGACGACAGATAGCTGTGAATTTCCCTGTGGACTGAGATCACCCCGCTGTCTATTGTCATCAATTTTTGTTTACAAGGACATTTGGCAGGCTTGGGGCTATAGCCCAGTGTACGAGGTTTGACTCCCCCCTTGATAGGGGAAGGGAGGAAAAGGAGAAGCAGGGAAGGTTTGAGTCTGCTGACAGATTTTGTTCTCTCTTCCTCTTGTCATATAGAACAAGCAGTAGCCAGGACAAGGGGCTGCCAAACACTCCATTCTCCCATGTAGGATTTGGTGGGGGTTGTGTTATGCTGCAGCTTTGATTTAAAATGTTGGGATCTTTCTGGGTGATGTAGATTGAAAGTCTGCAGTCTTTAGGACGGTGCTGTGGGAGCTGGTCAGGGACTGATATGAACAGGACTCCTGCCGGCTTTTGTGCTCTCTGCCCAGCATCAATCAGGGTACTGGTTGGTGTGAAGTTGCTCAGATATGCCCAGAGGGTCTAGAGCGCCAGGTGAAGGACCTGGGTGTGGAAGTGCTTAGAATTTTAATCGCTTTCTTGCCAGTTAGCTCTCGGAGAATTCTTGGAGGAAAATGGTAAACTTGTGTGAGTGATCTTAGTTTATTGAACTGAAACCTATGTCCAGATCCACGTGTAAAACCCTAGCTTTCTTTAGTTGGCAAACATTTTAATCAGAGATACAGTAAAACCTCAGTTTGTGAATATTATGGTGTTGTTTCATTGTATCTAATCTCATTAAAAGCTAGCGGTAGACTTAACTGTGTCTGGAAGACCACAGATAGGGAATTTCAGAGGTAGCCCCATAGCCAAAAGTAGCACACCTTTCATTCTGGGCTCAGCTTGGTGTTTTCCCAGGGTGTTAGAATGGAGCCTTCTCTGACTGGCTGTGTGGGGAGTCAGGCAGATCTCTGTGCATTGGAGGCCAACCTGGTCTACGTAGTTCCAGAGAGACTCTCCTACAAACACAAAAGAAAATAATAGAGACTTCTTTAGGCTATCCAAAATATAGGACAAACAAAAATAACTGTCAAATGTTTCCAGTAGACTCATCCTTGGGGCTGGAGTGATGGCTTTGCAGTTAAAGTACTGAAAGACAAGTACTTTTGGTTGCCGGCTGTCTTGGGAAGTCTGTAGACCAGGCTGGCCTCAGACTCAAAGATTCACCTGCCTCTGCCTCCCAAGTGCTGAGATAAAAGGTGTGTGCCACCACCACCTGGCCCATAAGTACCGTAAATAAAAAGGCCTGGACTGGAGAGATGGCTGTGATTAAGAGCACTGGCTGCTCCTACAGAGGACCCTGGTTCAATTCCCAGCACCCACTTGGCAGCTCACAACTATCTGTAAGTCCAGTGTCTGGGGATCCAACACTGTCACACAAGACACACATGCAAGCAAAACACCAATGCACAATACAAATAAATATGTTATTTAAAAAATTAAAAAATAAATTAAAAGGCGCATCTTCAACCTGCAGGAGTTAGAGAGTTTCTGACTGGTGGAGCAGTACTCAAACAGCCTTTCACAGCTCACACAGGCTCTAGGGGGGAAATAGGACACTGATAGGATGTGAGGACTGAGGCAGGAGGATGATAAGTTTGGGATCAAACTGCCTCTTCCTCCTCTGTACTGAGACTAAAGGTGCATACCACCACCGGCCAGCAATTTTTTGTTATTTTTAAGACATTGTCTGCATAGATAACTCAGACTGGCCTCTCCTACTCAACTTTGGTCACAGGCATGCCACCAAACACTGTAGTGGTTACATTACTTCCTGTTCGCTGTGTCAAAACACCGGACAAGCAGCTTGAAGGAGGAGGGGATAGCGGTGGGGAAGGTGTGGCAGCATGAATGGTAGCCAGCTGGTCACACTGCATCTGCATTTGAGAAGCAAGGACGCTGCCTCAGCTCTCCTTTCTTCCTGAGTCTGAACCCTCCTGCTCAGTGGCAGGGCTTGACTTGGAGAGTCTTGCTAAAGCTCTTTATTAAGCAGCATGAACTAAGTGGCCAGGGAAGTTGCCTGTACTCCATTTTGACTTAGCAGTCAGTGGCTCTTGGTTTTCATCTGTTAATTGAAGCTGATGAAGGTGAAATGACTTGGTTTGTTAGAACAGCCTCCAGGCGGTAGCAACAAGTTTCTTCTTCTGTTCACTTTTCCAGTTCTGATAGTTCTCTGTGGTGTCGATGGTGAGCTGTGGTCTGTCTGTCTGTCTCTTTGTCTTCTTGGTGTAAAAGACAGGTGCACTTGTACCAATCATATCAGTGGTCCGTCAGACACAACCGAGTTGGGAGTTGTGGGAAATGTTGACAGGTGTAAAAGAATATGTTAATTTCCCCCACTACTGAATCTTCCGTGCATGCTGGTGCCTCTTAAATTATACAGTCTAAGGGAAACAAAAGGAACAACAAGGTTTTGTGTGGTTTTTCCTTAATCTGGAGAGGTGGAAAAAAGTTCACTAAAGACTTTACAGATGAGCCCATCCAGTTGCCACCCAGTATTTGTTAAAGTGGCTGGTGTACATTGGTAGTGCTCCTCCTTTGGGCGTTACAATGAGGAGAACTAAACCCAGTGTGTATGCACAGTGTGGCTCAGTGACATATCTCTGCTCAGCATTCAAGGCCCTGAATTCAATTCCCATGCAGGAGAGGAGGGCAGGGGCACACATCGACACAGACAGCATCTTAAAACATACATTTCTGTCAAATCACTTTTTAAATGTTGGTTGGGAAATGCATATATTCTGAGAAACATGCTTCCCACCACATTGGTTCTTGAAAATTCTACAGCATATTTGTGGGATAGGACAGGTGAGTTTACATTCACTTTTTTTTTTTTTTTTTTTTTTTTTTTTTGGTTTTTCGAGACAGGGTTTCTCTGTGGCTTTAGAGGCTGTCCTGGAACTAGCTCTTGTAGACCAGGCTGGCCTCGAACTCACAGAGATCCACCTGCCTCTGCCTCCCAAGTGCTGGGATTAAAGGTGTGCACAACCAACGCCCAGCTTACATTCACTTTTTAACTTTGCCCCAGTTTACATCATCATTGGTACCCTCACTGGAATTTTCCTATGTGAGATCTGACAGAATCATCAAGTGAATGGTAACAGTGGGTCTATTAGGAAATGGTCCTGTTTTAGTCTGTCCTAACAAGAGTAATTGTAGGATGAAGAATCACCATTTTCTTTCATTTTGTGCTTTTGTTAGGATATGAGAGAGAAGGGTGAGAAACTCCTCACTTCGTTATTAAGAGAGAACGTACACGGGCTGGAGAGTTGGCTTGGCAGTCAAGAGCACTGCTGTTCTTCAGAGGACTGGGGTTCGATTCTAACCACTGCTAACTCCAGTTCTGACCTCTGAGGGCCCTGCACACACGAGTTCAGGCATACACACAGACAATAAACAAGCAAATCTTTAGAGGGAGAGTGGAGGGGCTTGTTAAGAACTGAAAGTTGACTGTTTATTGGCTACTATGATGTCCATGTATAGTCATCTTTAAATTATGTTGAAATACACCACGGATGTCTCAAAACTTGTCTGTGGCTACATCCTGCTCTTAGCTGAAACAACAGGGTGACTAGAGACTGACTGACTATTCAGTGTCCTCTCTGGCAGATGTTCTCTGGCAAAGACCTTCCTGCACTGATGAAGTCGCTGGAGAAGAGAGAGCACGTGCAGGAAGTGAATCACCACCAGAGCAGAGGAACAGTCACCTGCTTTAAAAATAAAGTACTGTTGAAAAAGATCATTTCTCTCTATTTGTTCCTAGGTGTAAAATGTTAATAGTTAATGCAGAATTCTGTAATCATCGAATCATTAGTAGTTAATGTCTGAAAAAGCTCTTGCAATCAAGTCTGTGATGTATTATTAATAATGCCTTATATATTGTTTGTAGTCATTTTAAATAGCATGAGCCATGTCCCTGTAGTCAGTAGGGGGCAATCTTGCTTTATTCATTCTCCATCTCAAAGCGGATTTGAAATTACTGATTAGTGTAAGCTATGCATAAGGCTGGCTGTTTGAAAAGGGGTTTTCTCAAAAGTCAAAACTTTGGTTATGACTGCATTTCTGCACATAATCCATATTTCCTGTTCAAATTAATCTAGAAATATGTTTAATTGTACTGTGTGAACACTTGGAAGCAAAACCATAGTGGCAGAGTTCATTGTAGTATTAACAAAAATAAGTTCTCAATTGGTAAATAAGCATTAATTTTTCATAGTCTATATTTAAAAACTACCTTTTCATTCTGTAGTTCTGTGTACAAAGGAATTCTAAAGGTGTTTGTCATTGTATACAATGGAAAGGGCAAAGACAGATTCAGACTAAGTACTAAATGTTATTCTGGAAACTGGCTAGAATCCCAGAGGGTCAGGAGCTTGGAACTTTTGAGAGGATCCCTAACACTCTGTACTACTTGCTTTTACAAATGTTATAACTGTCGAATGATGTGCTTGCTGCCCAAGTGCTAGCTCACTCTGGTTGCTATATTAAACTGTAAATATAGTAGAACATCAATAAATGTCTCTGTGTAGCACCTTTTCCTGTGGTCAGTGCTTAATTCTGGAGTTTACAGTTGCTGATTGTGACCACATTTTCTAGTCTCACATAGTAATCCAGAATATGTTCTAAAAATTAAAAATTATAATTTTATTGCTGTGAAAAACCACAACCAAGCCAGGTGTAGTGGTGGACACCTTTCATTCCAGGGCTCGGGAAGCACAGGCAGGTGGGTCTCTTGAGTTCAAGGCCGGCCTGGTCTACAGAGTGAGTTTCAGGACGGCCAGGGTCACACACAGAGAGAGACCCTGTCTTACAAAAACAAAAAAGCCACCTTGACCAAAAGCAAGTTGGCGAGGAAAGGGTTTATGACAGTCCCTCACTGAGGGGAGTCAGGGTAGGAACTCGGGGGCAGGGACCAAGTGCTACTTCCGTCTGTTTCTCACAGCTTGCTGTCTTACAGCTTCCGGGCCCTCCTGCCCTGGGATGGCACTAATGCAGTGAGCTGGCTCCTCCTGCATCTGCTGTCAGTCAAGAAGTTGCATTACAGGCATGCACACAAGTCAGTCTGGAGAGGGTGTCTTCTCAATTGGTGTCTTTTCCCCATCTCTAGCTTGTGTCAAGTGGACGTAAACTAGCCACCACAGCCAGGCAGTGGGGGCGCACACCTTTAATCCCAGCACTCTGGAGGCAGAGTCAGGTGGATCTCGTGAGTTCTAGGACAGCCAGGGCTGTTAGACGAAGAAACCCTGTCTCTAAAACAAAAAACGAAAATAAAAATAACTAGCCAACACACTACGATTGCACTTCTATTCACAGTTCGTTTTGTACACTCATAAATTGCAGCAGAAGTTTCTCCTCTTTTTGTATCTCACTCAATATGTGAACACTGCATCTGCAGAAGAGAACGGACCAAAGGAGGAGGAGCATGAAGAGCCTGCCAGAGCTGCTCTGGAACTCCAGGTGGGCTTCATTCTGTAACCACAACCATAGAACGCCTGCTTGGACCTCTGACGTCTTCCCTCTTGAGACAAAGCTGCCCTCATTCCTCTGCATCGTCATTCCTGTTTGCTTGTATTAAATTTAGAGATTAGTGGTTGTTATATCAGCCATTTGATTTTTTTTTTAAGGTTTATTATGTATACATGTATCCCTACAGGCCAGAAGAGGGCACCGGATCTCATTACAGGTAATTGTGAGCCATCTGGGAATTGAACTCAGGACCTCTGGAAGAAACCAGAGTTCTTTACCTCTGAGCCAACCATTTGATTTTTTTTTCCATATTCTATTTACATGAAATATAAAGAAAGATATGCACAAGGTTGTCAAACCACCTGGTAAAGCAGCACTAGCATGTATGATAGTTATAAATTTGTAAGTGTTCATTTGCTGCCTGGGAACAGCATAGCAAGTCTTTGGGGTGTCAGTATACAATGCACAGGAACATTAAGTTGTCTGAAAGCCAAACAAACATCAGAGCCTCCTGGAATTGCTTTGTTATGTATGTGTTTTCTTGGGGGGTTTTATTTGTTTGTTTGTTTGCTTTTGAGACGCACGCTCACTATGTAGCTTTGGCTAACCTGAAACTTAGTGTAGACCAAGTTGACCTTGAACTTGCATCAGCTCTCAAGCCTCTGCCTCTTGAGTGCTGGCATTACAGATGTGTATCACTGCACCCTGCCTAGATGGACACGTCATTAGTTGCAACCAGTTTATTGGTTATTAAGGTGTATTCTTGTTCTGTTTTGTTTGGGGGCCTTCCTGTGCAGCCCAGGCTAGCACTGAATTTACAGTCCTCCAGCCCAAGCCTCATGCAGATGTCCACCACCATGCCCAACTGTCTTTTGGGGTTTTGTTTTGTTTTGTTGTTTGAGACAGTTTCTCTGTGTAGCTTTGGCTGTCACTTTGTAGACCAGGTTGGTCTGGAACTCACAGAGATCCGCCTGCCTCTGCCTCCCAAGTGCTGGGATTAAAGGTGTGTACCACCACCGCTGGGCTAGCTGTGTTTCTTTCTTAAAGGTTATAATTTCTGAAATCCCTCTCCACTAGATTATACCAACAATAGATTTGGAATATTATTTTGGAAGACAATAGGAAGAAAACACTATCTGCTGAAGGTCTAGAATAAATTGGCTGGGAGAAGCACCAGGGCTCACTCATAGCCACAACGCTCTGTGTCTAATTGCCATTTGAAGAAAGAGTGAACGCGGGACTGGAGAGATGGCTCAGCAGTTAAGAGTACCGACTGCTATTCAGAGCACCCACATAGCAGCTGACAACTGTCTAACTCCTGTTCCACGGCTTCTGACAGCCAGGCATACACATATATGATGACAAAACAGAAATGTACGTAAAATAAGAGTTTTTAAAAAGAAAATGATAAAATGGTAAGTGTAGCTTTGTAATTTGTTCCCTCTATGGGTGTCTAGTTGGTCTCTTCGCTCGTTGGAAGATACTCATCTTTCAGTAAAGATAGTTTGGGGAATAATGAAGATATAACAAGATACAAAATGTGTTTCCAAAGATGGCTAGGATATTTTGTTGGTGGTGATAGTATTGTTTCAGTTTTGTTTTGCCTATTTTGGGGCCTATATAATATTTGTGTCTACTGTGGTTGGTAAGGTGGGTTGGCAGGGATCATTTACCAAACCAGGGTTTGGACTTAGTTTGGGTGTGCACCGGTGTACTCTTACACAGAAGTTCTCACATCCACTGAGGGACTTTGCATAAGGACGACTCTGGGTATTCATAAGCCACTAGGGGGAAAGACCTCAGAAAAAAGACTTACCAGGAATTCTCAAAGGGAAAAGGAAATTTAGGTTGAGAGGAAAGGGGGAAGAAAAGATCGTTATGAACCTGCTATTCTATCATCCCCATTCATTGTTGGAGATTGATTTTATTTATTTACATATGTGTGTGTACGTGTGTCCCTACGAGTGTATGTTCTAGTGTGGAGGGGCCCATGGAAACCAAAAGAAGGTATTGGATCCCTTGGAGCTAGAAGTACTGGTGATTGTGAACTGCTGGGCTTTGAGCTCATTTCCTTTTTATTGAGCAGCAAGCACTCTCTAGCCCTCTATTTGTTTATTTGAGACAAAATTGCTTTTCCCCTGCGTGGCTAGAATTTACTGTGTAGCCTAAGGTGGCCTCAAACTCAACAGCATCCTCCTGCCGTAGACTCTCAAGATTAAAGGCAGTTGCCAGCACACACAGCCTCATACCCATTCCCATAGGAGGGTGTTTATAGCCAGCTCATTGTGTCACCTACAACTTCATGGCTGTGAAAGAGCTGCTTTCCCAGACTGGTTTTCCTGTTGGTAAGATTTTAAACACTGGCCATCGGTGGTGGCACACGCCTTTAATCCCAGCACTTGGGAGGCAGAGGCAGGTGGATTTCTGTGAGTTTGAGACCAGCCTGGTCTACAGAGCAAGTTCCAGGACAGCCTCTAAAGCCACAGAGAAACCCTGTCTCGAAAAACCAAAAAAAAAAAAAAAAAAAAGAAAAGATTTTAAACACTCCATAGTGTTTTCATTTTGTTTCACATTTTGAAGCAGCATCTCACCTTATAGCCAGGCTATGTAGACCAGATTGGCCTTGGACTCAGTTTTGTCTGTCTTTGAATAAGATCGTATACCTCCATACTCAGCTCTACTCCGGAGTGTTTTAATCCCCTCGCGTGTCCTTGTCACGGTTTGCCACTTGGAGCCTAAGCGTATTACTCAGAGCTTCTGATGTAATTTGATCCTGAGTCTTACTTAAAGGGCTGTTTTGTTTTCATTTTCCAAGAAGCATTGTCTCTGAGTTTTAATCCTAAATTCATCAGTTGACAAAGTAGTAGAGATAGAGTGAAGAGTGTCTGCCTAGCATGCGCAAGGGCCTGGGCAGATCCCCATCACAGCCCCCCACCACCAGCAGCAGAAAGGCATGAGGCTGGAGAGATGACTCAGTGGGTTCAGCACTTACTGTGCAAGCTTGAAGGCCTGAGTTCAAGTCCTCTCGACCCATGTTAAGTAGGACGCAGCAGTGGGTGTCTGCGACCCCAATGCTTCTACAGGAAGATGGGTGGAGACAGGAGCATCCCTCGATGCGCTCTGAGCCAGTTAGCTTGTCATTCCCGATGGGAAAAAACAGGAGACCCTGACTCAAAGGTCCTAGGCAAGAACCTGAGGTGGTCCTCTGACCACACATCATGTATTGTATAGCACACATGCAGCAGCACACATACACACTTTTTAAAAGAAACTAGTAATTTCAGTGTAAACATCTGAAGATTTGTTCTTGTTTATTGACTTTTGAGTTGGCCTCACCACTTAACTCTGGCCAGCCTGAAGCTTGCCTCAGTCTCAGATCCACATGACTCTGCTTGCAGACTGCTGGGCTTAGAGGCGCATGCTACCATGCCTCGATTTTTACTAATTTTTAGTTATATGTATGTGTGTTGCTCTGTGTCGGTATGTGTGTGTGAGTATAGGTGCCTGTGGTACTGCAGTCAGCAAACAGTTGTGAGCTGCCTGACGTGGGTGCTAAGAACCAAACTCCAGTAAGAACAGCATATACTGCTAACCACTGCCGCAGTGGAAGTCGGAAGTCTCTTAAGCCCAAGTGCAGAGTGCTGGGAACGAGGAAGGGTGGCCATGCATTTGTGGGACACGGCACAGGCTGGGAGCTGGCATGGGAGGTGTATGAAATTCACACCACCTGGCTTGCTTTCGTACTGTTCATCCTTCTCCAAAAGCAATTAATTAAAATCACTTACACTGCTCGCTGCATGTGCTTGCAAAGCCTGGCGACCACTACTCAGCAACACAAGCATAGCCTGGTCATTGATGTGGGAAAGGAAAAGGTATTTCCCATCTGTTAGTGATCATGTGCTGACAGATATCCAGACGGAGGAGAGTGGCGATGTGTTCTGGAGGTCTAGGCGGTGTACATTGTTTTTCTTTAGTTGTCTGATGTTATTAGTTAATTTTATCATTGCTGTGACCAAAGGGAAGAAAGATTTCCTTTGGCTCGGGGCTTAAGAAGGGAGACGGCAACATGG